ATTTAATGTTGTGTTATTAAAGGGAACAATAATTATTGTGTTGTGATATTGTATTGTGTGTCTTTAAAGTAAGGGAAAATATGACTGAATCTTGCTATGAGTATAATAAACTATTAGTCTAAAAATATTCTAACAATAAAATAGTGAATTTTTTGATGTTTTTATTTGTCCATTTGATAAAATATAGGAAAAGTACTAGTAGATATGAATAACATCTAACATAAAATTAGGTTGTGGAAACAAATATTATTTTTCTTGGTGGTGGCAACTAAATTTTTTTCATACTTTACACTTCCGTTTTATTAATCCGCAATTTCAGTTGGTTATAATTTTTTATTTTTTATTTACCTTATAATTTGTTTTTAATTCTGCAAAAATCCATAAAGAATTAACAAATTGCGAGTTTCTCAAATTGTTCCATTTTTCATACCACCTACTTTACTAAAAAGATTTTAGTCAAAATGTTCGAACTTAATTTAAAGTATATTCTATGTGTGTTATTTTCAAGGTAATTGAAAATCTGCTATTAAAATATATTCGCTTAGTAGTGGTATGCTTTACTTATAATGATTACTGCCTTAAAAAAATGTTGAATATACGTAAATGCGGGATATATTACGTATCACATACGTGTTCCGTTATCTGACTGATCTTGCGGCATTATTTGCGTATTCCTTTGTCTTGCGATACAATCGAACAAATCATCCGGTGTTGGACACAAGGGCTGTCCGCATCTTCTTCTGAAAACTCCATCTACTCCTGTTCAACATCAACATCAACTGACTCTTACTCCGCAGGCTACTTTGAGACTGACTGGTGGCGTCCCAGGAAAGGTGGGTCTGCACCAAACTACCTATGTATGTTCTGTCTTCTTTTTATTACCTTTCCTATAATTGTACAACAGTATATAATAGAGGTAGATACAAGATTATCTATGTTTACAATAGAGGGATGTAGAGTCAAATTTTACATTATTTCCTATCATTACTAATGTTTATTAACCTTTCTAACTATACTTGTATATATTATTAAGTATTATTTAAAAAAGATCGAATTATGATTAAATTTTTTGGTTCTACAATCCCAATTATACTGCAAATGTTATACATGGAGATAGATATATGTATTAAAATGTTACAACTTCAAAAGATGTTTTATTTAATTTTTTTGAAGTTATTTAACATAGAAACATATTTTAAAGTTCCAACCCTTAAGGAATATTAAATATGATTTAATTAATTTGATATTGTTATGATATACATATTATCCTATTATGTCCATGTGCAATATTTATTTGTTTGCATAAATGATGAGCTTCTAACATGCTTTACACAATTTAATTGAATAATGTGCTAACAGTTTATTAAATGTATACAGTACATTAACATTAGGCGTCCTGTTTGTTGGGAAAATTTAAAGATTATTACAAGAAAAGTCAATGTACCTTGACTCATGTGTGCTAGCACTAAATTTATCAAAAAATGAATAATTATTGTTGATGCCTTAATAATTTATGAATACTTGTAGATAGCAATATTATTCTTAATTACAGTAGTTGTAACACATTAGCAATCCAATTCCTTAATATTTTGTCCACTATTTTAAAAAGAAATACAGTATTCAAAAATGTTTTCATGTGATAATTATTGTTTTTTATTTACTATAGCGTGCAAAATATAGCACATTGAGGATTTGTTTAATATTCTAACAAAATTTTTATTTTGAACCATTGATAATGAAATTTTTTTCTGAGGAACTTAGGGGGATGAGCATAAGTGTGACAAGGGATGTAAATGAGATATTGAATGTTTATAAGTGAGCATCCATTGGTAGTCATAGTAATTGACATAAATTTTTTACTACTTTGTGTTAATTAATCAGTATTAATTTAAATCAATAATGGAGTACAGTATTTAAGAGAAAGTGTTGAATTATGACAAGGATTGAAATTATATTAAATTATATTTAATTGGCGTAAAGTTTTGAATATGTATGTTTCCTCTGACATGTAGGAATCACAGTATCGCACAATATACAAATTTATAAATCTATACTCATCTAACTACATTCAGCAGAATTTTTTTTTTTCCTGTTTTTTCTATACAACTAAAAATTTAATTTTTGTATCATTAATATTACTTACAAGAAATAAGTAATCTTTATAAGAGCAAACAATTTTTATTAGTTGTACAAAATGTTACACAGACATACTAAAAGAAAGTGTTAAAAGTGCTTTAAAATATACACTAATAACAATAAAATACATTTTTTAATGTTTTGTGTTTACATTACTATGTATTTTGTTCTTTTTTATAGGGTTCTTTTAATACATTTTATTAGTATATAAAATATTTTTCCTTAAAATATTTATGGTCTGAATGTAGAGAGGTGTTATTAGTGTAGTGCATTCTTATGAGATTGTAACTAAGTGCAATTTTTTTCCCTCCCCTTCTCAGCTCATGCATTCGACTATTACGGTAAGTTATGATTTCTCTTGCTTTTCAACAAGTTTTAGGTTCAGATGTAGGTTTAGCTATATTTTTATTTTTTAAGATTAATAGTATATTAAATGTATGTAAATGAGATGCAAACTTAAAATATTAGGATATAAATGCATAATTGTTAAATGCCACATACAAATCTAAATTTTTTATATTAAAGTAAAGTTTTAAGGTAAGGGAGCCATTACATTGGTTCATTTTCTATAAAAGCTAATAAACTAGAGAATGCACTCTCTCTCTCTCTCTCTCTCTCTCTCCCTTCATCTTAGTTATTGATATAAAATTGTAATAGCAAAGAGAGTTAAATTTCAATAATACTCACCAGTATTGTAGACATACAAAATGACTCTCCACCCAGAACCTAAGATATCTTTGCTATCTTATGTCTTGCTTTGGACTTTTTGGCTTTTTTTTATGTTAAACTACTTTTATTGGTGTACTTATCTTCAGTTTCTGTATTTATCATTTTTTAAATATTTATCTGACATCCCGATTCTCAAACGGAAATGTTTTGGCATTTACACATCTATAAAAGTATGCACTAAGGGCACATTAATAAGAATAAAAAGAAAAAAGTAAACACGGATTACGTAAATTTCTACTTTGAAATTCGAAATGTAATTGTAAATTCTTTTTAAAAATATACTCACAGTACTATGTACAGAATATATATTAAAAGTTATTACAAAGAAGGTGTACCTATAAAATGTCAATTCTTTTTTTTTTTTTGTATATTTTATTAGATTGTCCTTGTTCTAAAACATGTAAATCTTCGAAATAATTTAACTCAAAGCACGTTTCATTTTATATTTGTATTACATACATAAATCTAATACTTGGAACATTCACGGACTACCTTTGGAATACTTAACCATTTACAATAAAAAATATTCTATTTCACTGAAGGAAAGTCAAATTTCTTTTATTTTAGCATGAGTCTATATTGAAGTTAATGATAACATTTTTGTCATTAATCTAAACATTTTTTCACCAAATGAATGATATAAAATTATGTGTTATAATGAAAAATGTTATATTTGTAAGATTAAAGCCGTTTATCAGATTGCTTAATATTGTTTGAAACTGGGATTGTCTGAAATAGAAATAAAAAATATTTCGCATATGATTATCCATTGGCAAATCTTGTCACAACTTAACGCACCTTCCAGAGTTCTCGGCGTGATATCACGGTTATTCTTTTCGTAATTTTTGGGATACTACAATGGGTTACTACTAACATGGGAGCGGATATTATGGTGTTGGTGGTCGATAAACATTTTATAAATAAAGTTTTCACTAAAATAGACAAACTGAACTTAGCAAAGGGTTCTGTAGCCTGAGCTTTTAGTGTAGCAAAAGTTCAATTTACTGTTGCTTGGGAGAACTTTTAAGGTATAATTATATACTACAAATGTTGCTTACTTAACAGCACGGTTTCGTTTTTTGTGAAAATGACGTAGTGGAAAGGTTCGTTGGAAATAAGGAAAGAACTAGAGATTGTTTGTTTACATAGATGTAGATTCTGCGAAGGTATAGATATTTACAATATTTTCAATATATTTTTCCAACAAAAAGTCTCTGTAAAAATTGTTACAAATTCTAGGATAAATTGTTATTTAGTGAAAAACTATTTTGCTTCGTATATATTTGTAAGATATGATATGTTATATTTTAAACTACAAGTGAATTTATTGGTATTAATTAGCAGTCGGAGATGTCAGTCTGTTATGTTAAAATATTTAAATTTTCCGAATTTTCTAGTCTTCATTCTTTTCTTGTTACGCTAAAGACTTGTTTTTCTCAAATTATCCAATATTGTGTTTTATAGTCGATTTATTTTACAAAAAAGAATATTATTTCCTCAGATTTCAAATTATCATTATAGTTTAGAATGAGTAAAAACATCAGTGATCATATTTATAATACATACATGATGATTTTTAACTGAAGTTTATTCAAAAGCCTAAAGGGATTGAGATTTCGTAATGTATCATCGATATTACACGATTAACTGATAATACAAAGAAATTATTCAAAGAATTGAATCTACTAATTTATTATATATCATGGTGTATCATTTTCAGTGATATTAACATAATAGAAGAATATCGAAAAGTCGGTGTAGTTATTACGTATCTTATAAAAAACGTTTACAGGGATTTTCGTACTTTTTTTTTTTTATCGATCCCTTTGGAGCACGATCTTGTTAATAAATATAATGGCGTTAATAGGGTATACTATTTGCATGTTTATACATATTTATAATTAATATTATGGTTTCCAATCCAATATTACCGTTTCAATCTTTCTAGCTAATTGTTGATGTATCTTGCATGGTAAAGGAAATACATTAGCGAATAGATCTTATGCGTAATCATAATTGCTCTCGATCGAGGCGCTATTGAGTTCTAAGTAACTTTGTCAGGCGTATATGTAGTGTATTCGTATATTTTGTGTGCTACCGTTAGAAAATAATAACTTCCACCGTTGAAGAGATATATGTATATGTAAATGGCAGTGTTATGGCATACATCAATAATTTCCTATGAGAGACGTGAAATTAGAAACAAACACAACTAACATAATAAAACACGAGATTGATTGACATTTTCTTTTCCCTCCTTCAAGACGAGTACAATCTAAATCCTGGTTTAGAATGGGAGGACGAATTTACAGGTATGTAATCTTCTCGAGGGCTGACTCACTCTATCTAATTGTATCACCAATACATGAATTATATTCATTTTCACAAAATTGCATTTCAAAGTAATATCTTCGTTTAAGTTACTTTTTTTTCTCTCTTTCTTCGTTTTCTTCTTCTTCTTCTTCTGTTTAATTATTGTATTTATTAAGCACTGAAAGGAGGGAACTTGTGCTATCAATTTACACTCGAAGTTGCTTGTTAAATCATCAGATTTTTAAGTAGGTTTTTCTATGGTTTGTTATGTAATTGTACAAATTTTCGCTTCGTTTATCATGCATGCATAAATAGTAATCATACATATTTTCGTTTCATTATATCATTAATTTCAACGAGCATGAGCGACATACAGTGCAGGGTGGAGTTAACCGAAATTAGAAACTAAAAGATACTTTTGTATCCCTCGAAAAGTGTAGGAATATTATCCGAGAGATTTTTTTCTTTCAGAATTAGATTGCAAAAATCTTTTTGCCGCCATTTTAAACACAGCCTTTTTCGGACGAAGGACTAAGTACCACGTTGAGATACTGATTACTTCTACAATATACAGGGTGTGCTACGTAAAACAGGCCACCTAATTATCTTCTATAACTGTGGTGGTGTGAGACAATTTTTATACATAATTTTAATGGTTTCATAGAGTGAATAAGGTGGGAGAAAAACTTGTTTGATGGAAGAAATGGCAAAAACTGAAAGAAAGTTTCACAATTTGATTTAAAATTTTAACATACGGTAGAAAAAAGTTATAAAAAAATTTGTCTTTCATTTTATTTGCCCTTTGAAACAATTTAAATGACATGTAAAAATTTTCTCGTACCGCTATAGCTAGAGAAGATAATTAGGTTATTTGTTTTACGTAGCTCACCCTGTATAATTAGGTTACTACTTCTTAAACTGTTACTTAATTAAATTATATTTTCCTCAAATATACCAACATGAGCTCATGGTCGCGTGAACAATTTTTGTTGGTCAAAAATATGAGGTTATTGGTTACGTTCACAGTTTTCTATAAATTCATCCTCATTCATCGTCCTCAAAGGGTTGATAGCTTATTCATATACGTTCAATAATATTAAGTGTATCGTATAAACATTAAATTATTATTTTATAAGAATTACACTTCAGATCATCTGAAGGAGGTCCACATAATATACATAAACGTCTTCAAAGAAAAATCTTTTTGTCAGTATTTGTCTGTATGAAATGAATACGTACGTTCTTCCTTACACAATCTATTGGGCCATTAAAAGCAAGAAAAAGTCGAGGTTCTTATTTTAGACGACTCACCCTGTATAATAAATCACTGTTACCATTTTCGTTTTGTTTTATATCTTAGACAATATTTGTTCGTTTTGAATACTATAGATTTAGATTACAATTTTATTTGTACTCTTTTTTAATATAAAGTAAATATTCATTAGATGCTGCATGAGACTTGGGAAGTTGCGTTAATATATCTCCACTCAATGTTTGTATTTTTTGATTTATTTATTTTTTTTTTATTCCATACAATCTTCATTGCTGAGTTGTTCAAATAATTCACGAGAAAAAAAGCAGTTCTATTCGCTAATGGGTACTGGTATTAATAATGTTTATCAGTTTGATGTTACATTATGAAACAATGTACACATCACTTAAGAAACCAACGATCAGTCTCTCACTTATTTCGACCTCATTCTCTCATTTCATTTGCGTTTTATGCTAAAATAAAAAGGGTGGAGAGATATCAATTCGGATGACTTTTAATGACACTCGCAAAATATTTCAAATGAAAAGTACATTTTTATTTGCAATATTCCACCAACAAGCAGTCCACCTTCTTACATGTAACTAATCCCAATGCATGTGATTCAACCTAATTAGTCGTTTTTTCTCAGTACTGTGTATGGTTGCTCTTCATTTTCCAATCAGTTGTTGTTATTATTATTTTCCTGTTTTTTTTTTTCTTTTTTTTTTAATTCATTTAATACAAAGCTTCCGAAAGAGAGTTGCATCCCTTAAACTTGACGCTTTCACAGTTTATTTGCAAAAGTCTTTTACTTTATTTTTTCAACCTTTTTTTTTTTTTCTTCAAATTGTTAAGGTAAACATACTAATCGACGAAGAACTGATACAATTTGCATAAAGTATAACATGAATGCATCGCGTTTTTTTCTCTCTCTGTAGTGTCGCGAGATAATGTAGCTGTTTTGTTTAAAAAAAAAAAAGAACGTAGCGCATTCGAATTCTTAAAGTAGGTCACTTGTCAGAGGTAGATAGATGTATCGAAGTTAGGGTGCTCGTAGCAGAATCAGCTTATTCACCACAGTTTTGACATTTGATGATGGCCAAGTTGAAGATGAAGAGAACAGCTTGCCGCATATGGACGGTTTCCAAAGCAAACTTCCTCCTGGGATTCTTCCCCATGGTTTACCGCAGGTTAAGGAAGTCCCGCCAGCAGTTACTCAAGTGGAAAAGCAAAAGGAAAACGAGAAGCCGAAAGAAGGTAGAGATTTGTGCTCTTTAACAGATAGCATTGAATTGGATTTTTACCGCCACTATTGGTATATTTAAATTAAGAAATTTCGACGACTCTGGATATTTATAAGAAAATTATGGATGCAATTAAAATTAACCCTTTGCACTCGGATGTCCCTTCTGAGGGGACATCGTAAGTCTAGAAATAAAATTTTGATTCTTTTGCAAAAAATATGTTCCTCAATGTCTACAAATTCATATAATTCAAATATCATTACAACACATTGCTTGGTTCCAAAGCTATACTATATAATATGACGATTCCTAGGTCCACGTTTTCGCGACAAAGTGGCGTCGAGTTGCTGGTAGGTAACGTCCGGGATGGCTCCGAGTGCAAAGGGTTAATAATCAAAGCTTGAAGATGTACAGTTATTCACAAAATTGAGCGTACACTTACGTTGGAAATGAAAATCGGCGGGAAAATGAATAAAACCATAGATATTTTAGTACAATAACCGCGAAATATATTTATTCGAATAGTTTAGATAGGAATTCATAAAAACGTTTTCGAATAACATTAACTACTTGGTTATATCTAACTGAAAATATAAAAATACTGCTATTTCAGTAGCACAAAATTGAGCTAGAAATAGATAAAACAGTTTTGAATATCGCAAAACAGTGTAACGACTTGCACTGATGTTAATTTCTAGTACGAGAACTTAGCGAAGAAGAGAAACAGATGATTATACTGTCTGAAGATTTTCAACGATTTCTTGATCGTACTAGCAGAATTGTGGAAAGGGCATTAGGAGAATCGATCGATATTTATACTGATTATATGGGTACTATGGATGGTGAAGATGGAATGTGAGTAAAGATTTCAATTGTGTAGTGTACGTCTATCGTATGTCTTTCTATATCGTTCCTAAGTTCTTTCGATTAGCATACAAATTATTACGTTTTATGATGCATTAGTAAAAAAAAAAATTGGCTATACGAGAACGAAAGAACGAAGAAATTAATCAATTAATATTATTTGTAGCGACGAAAAGAGTAATCAACGTTTATCGTTAAATCGATCGTTCTTTTGCGAACGTTGGTCTCGTAAGCGTTGTGTGACCTCGTTGGATTGGTCACCTCAGTTCCCAGAACTTCTCGCGGCCTCCTACGGTAACAATGACGACACTCCGAACGATGCTGACGGAGTGTGTCTGGTTTGGAATACAAAGTTCAAGAAAACAACCCCGGAATTTATTTTCCATTGTCAGTCTCCCGTTATGTCGTGCACTTTTGCAAGATTTCATCCTAATCTAATCTTAGGAGGTACTTATTCCGGACAGATTGTTCTTTGGGACAATAGAGTACAAAAGAGAACTCCTATTCAACGTACACCATTATCGGCTAGCGCGCACACTGTAAGTTGCTCGATAAAAGGTTCTGCAATCAGGGGCGATTCTGATAGGTGTTCAGTCGGCCGATAGTGCACTTTAACACTAAACGAATGACCGGTTTTAAAATTTGATTTAAAACCGTGCATTTGTTTTTCCCCGTTCTTGTTAAAAATAAAAATGCAAATATGTAATTTTGTTTATTAGTATCTAAAGGCTAGTTTCTACGTTGTTTCCTATATTCAATTGACAGTCACTTGTATTCCTTTCGGAAAAATATGATTATTTCATAAGCGATCATTTGACCGCCTGCGGTAAGAATAGGTATACGTAAAGTGTCTGTATGATTAGTGTTAAAGAGTGAAATTCAAATAAATATATCAAATATTTTTATGGATTCTTTTACCATTGTCAATTATACGGAACTTTCATAAAAACGTAATGTTAGGCTCCCATGGGTTGAGGTAGCTTATGAGTCTGCTCGCGATTCCCCATTGATGGGGAGGCGACCCAAATATTTCTAGCACGGAGGCGGCTAACAGCCCAGAACCGTCCCTCTCTATAATTATTAACATAAACGTGTATTTAACATAGCTTTAAAAAAAAATTATACCTCCAGCATCCAGTGTACTGTTTAAACGTTGTCGGAGCACAAAATGCGCACAATTTGATAAGTATTTCAACTGACGGTAAAATGTGCTCCTGGAGTTTAGACATGTTGTCACAACCTCAGGAGATCTTAGAACTTCATACTAAACAGTCGAGGCCAATTGCCGCCACTTGTTTAGCTTTCCCTCACGGCGATGTCAATAATTTCGTCATTGGCAGTGAAGAAGCAACTGTTTACTCGGGTAAAGAAATTTTTTCAATGAAAATTCAGCACCGTGTTGTCGCATAATTCAGAATTATACAAATCATTATCGATGTTTTATGTTTATTTGATAGCATGTCGTCACAGTACGAAAGCTGGAGTATTAGAGACTTATGAAGGTCATCAAGGTCCAGTTACAGGAATTAGCGCACATGCTGTGCCACATGGAATCGATTTTTCACATCTCTTCCTGACATCTTCGATCGACTGGACCATCAAGCTCTGGAGTCTTAAAGAGACGAAGCCTTTAGACTCGTTCGAGCATAATGGTGATTACGTTTACGATGTTGCATGGTCGCCGACCCATCCAGCCTTGTTCGCTGCTGTAGACGATTCGGGACGGTTAGATCTGTGGAATCTCAATCAAGATACCGAAGTACCCACAGCTAGTGTTGTGATCAATGGTTGTCCAGCTCTTAATAGAGTCTCATGGACACCGAGCGGTTTACACGTAACAGTTGGTGATGATAGTGGAAAGATTTGGGTGTTCGATGTTGCTGAGGTAAGGTCACTTTTTATTATACACATGTTAGCCTACCTGTGTTATCACTCTACATTTTTAATTGCACTAATGTATCGATATACTGTTGTATATACTAATGCATTGATATATGTTTCACGCTATCCTGATAGTATTTTCGAATAACGAGTATGCTTTTAACGTCCATGTTTCTTCAAACACAGCATTTAGCGCATCCAAGAATGGACGAATGGAATAAATTTTTGTACACCCAGCAAGAGTTGACAAACAACAACACAGATGAGGAAATGCGTAAGCTCAATGTAAGAGAACCTTCTTCCATACATCCGTTGCTAGCGACATGGCCTCTTAGGGTATAATTTTATACGGAAATTATTGTTAAAGTCGGCTTAAATATCTTAAATTTTAAAATCAAATGAATATGAAATATCTTTAATTCTAAACAAAAAAAAAAAATCTTAAAAGAAACAAAAGGAAAGTGTAGTGCATTAATTGTAATTTATAGGTGTACGTACCATTAAGTATTTATAGGACCTCCTTTACTCTGTATAAAATTATTAAACAGCAAAGCAAACGTATTAGCATCTTATTCGTTTGTAATTGCTGTGCATTAAAACGACTATAAATTTAAAGTATCCAATAAATACACTTTATCTTAATCAAGCCACTATAGCGCAGCAGATCATTATGGATGTGTGCAACATATCTGTACATGTAAATACCAAAAGCCACAAGCACCACTTAAATTGGCATATAGCAGAAAATAAAAAAGTAATTAGAAGAAATTTGACGTAATACGCATCAGGTAAATTATAACATAATCTTTTATTCATTATAGTCTTTTGCGACATTTATATTCGCGACATATTTACATATTATTTTCTGAATTAATTAAAAAAAAAAATAGAAACTGTTTTCATGCTAATACTCGTATCTAACGTATAAAAGTAATATCAGTAGGATACAACATAACTTAAACATTATGATTTGTTTGTAATGTATAGTTTATAGTATAGCAAAAATAGTGAAATTTATTAAACGAAGATTATCGGTTAAAGATGTAAATATAATATTATTTTTGCGTTATTATAGACTGCTGGGCTTTATCTAAAATGTGATACTGTTGTATAGTATTGTATTGGTAATGCATACTTCTGCTCAAGTCAAGCATAATTTTTTTTTACAAAGGAATTAATTAATCTACAATTTATTAAATATTAAATAATTGTCCTGACTGCAAATGAATTTATTAAATGTTTTTGTATGCGGAATTTTTAATTTAAGTTTCAATAAGTAATGATAATTGTCTAGATAAATAAGTTAATTATTTTCATTAACGCTCCAAATAAAATTTCATTTAAAAAACTTCAGTGTATAAATTTAGCCTTACCAATATTTGCCTGTGATATTATAATTTTATCATCAGTTAATGTCAAGAATTAATTGATATCCACATTTTTAAGAGCGAATCTCGGAAAGAGAGGTTTCAGGGTGTTCTCCTCATTTTGTAATTTATCTTTTGCACAATAATAGCTTAAAACAGTGAAATCAATAATACGTAATTTTAGAGGCAGACAGTTAATTGTTCACGAGGTATTTAGTGCAGCTCACTATGCTAAGTGTGCAAAACACAAAGTATTACAAATTATATTTATTTTTTTATTAATAACAATAGTTTATGTACATCATAAATGAATGGTTTAAAAATATATTAAAGCACAAAATTTCACACTGTTACAAATAATTGAAATTACGTTATCATCGAACGTAGTAATTGATTATTACTTACAATTTCTTTTACATCTAATAGTGCTTCCTTATTGCCAGATCAAATTATTAAAAAAATAGACTAATTTTACAAACCAATCAATAATACAGTATTTTAATGCAAATGCTATATTTAGATTTAATATGTATGTTTTATAAAAATTATATTACCTAATCTTTCTATATACCCTTTGCTATTCAATATTCGCGTTTGCGTAAACAAATTTTATTAGCCACCAGTTATAAAGTGCAATACATTACATATATTATTTGATATGCTTTTCACTCTGAATATTAGCAATCGCAAAATTTATCCATTCAAAGCGCCAATCGAAATACTTCCTTTTTAAGATACTAAAAACAACGAAATCCTAAATGATAAAAAACAAACGTTGCGTCCTAACTAATGCTTCGATTGAATATTTTTCTTGGCAATTATTCGCAATTAACACCTAACGTATAGTATCAATATTGCATTGAATTTTGATCGTGCATGAACCGAGCCGCAATAAACGCTTATATACATACAGCACGTACTAGATCGTAGTTAAACAAATTTCTTAAACGATCTCTTCGTGCTTTCTTTTTTGATCGTTTTTTTTTTACCCGTTTCTGTTTGTCCCAGCACGATCTAATTCGGCATGTAATACATCGACGATATAAATAAAAAGTTGAAATCACAGATACAGAAAAAGACACAAAAAGAAGAAAAAAAAAACAAACAAGTGATTGTTGAATATTTTGCCAAACGCGTGCTATTGTAATCGATATGTATCGACGTCTTCTTCAGGTAATTGGAAGGAAAACTTTGGTGTACCGTACGATAAAGAAACGCTATACTGCGAGGCGAGTTTTGTGTCGCGTTGCGCAATGTACGGGCTTAAGCACGCTTATTTCGCGTACTATCTGAGAAACAATTCATACTACTAGCTTGACCTCTATCCTCTCTGGTTTATTGTCATTATCGTTATTGAGCAGAATATATGATTCTCGTGTCATCAATAATTTGTGTTGTCCATTTACTAATAACGTCGAACCTCTTCTGATGGTTCGTTTTCCTAACTCAATTGCTTCATGCGTAAACACTACATTGTTATAAGCCTTCATGAAAACGACGAATAAGATTACTATACCGACTAGAATTAATCCATACGAGGTACAAGGCGCAGCAACATCACTGAATGTCGTTGCTAAGTAGACCCATCTGCGGATAGAGGGCGTCAATTCTTCGATACCCTCTTCAAGCCACATGATAGGGAATACGATGTCGGTAAAGCTCGATACGACACCGATTTGCGGCTGGTGTTCGACCTTTAAGTTTAACTGTACACGGACTTTCCCTTCTAGTGGCACACCGAGTTTCTGTAAAATAAGTCAGTCACGTTGTACAATTTAGCACTATTTTTTTTACTAACAGGTTCCGTGCCGAACCGATTTTCGGTGACTTTTCGTTCATACGCGTGGGTCGTATGCGTCCCGCTTTGTCGAGATTAACAATTTTGCTTTTGACCCTATATGTCTTCTAATGTTTATAAGATTACAAAAATCATTGTTATCAAGAAAAAGATAACGTTTAAGATGCACTATAGAGCAAAGGAAAATTTTTTGTTTTAACAAATTATTGCCGTAGTTGCATAGTTTAAGTCAACGGTAGGAAAAGGCCGAAATATCAAATGGCCTGAATGGAAAATCCCAGAGTGGGGCGTATGCGACCCACGCAGCACGGAACGTGTTAACCTAAATATTTTAGTATCTATACGATGTTTATGTTATATAGGGTGTTCGGTAATAGGTGGTAGAAAATTTATGGGGCGATTCTGCAAACCAAAATAAGTCGGAGATCAAGAATAACAAAATCGTATTTGAGCTTTCACTTTTTAGTTATTAACATTTAAAAATATCCCTGTGACCGAGCAAACCTCCCTACACTAACGAATGTAGGGCACGTCAAGATATGGGTGGGTAGGGTGGAGGGGGTGCAGTGATTCTCAAAATCAACGACACATAGCCGGCTGTTTATCTTGTACAACTGGTAAAGAAGAAGACAGTGATATTCAGTGTCGTAAACGATATTATCGACTATTGTGGCACTACCGTTTGCTTCATCACCACACAGGTGCATGCAATACAATGGAATACAACTTTCTGGCATGCTCCTGTGTGGTGGTGAAGCAAACGATAATGCCGTAGAAGTCGGTAATGTCGTTTACGACGTCGAATATCGCTGTCTTCTTCTTCACCACTTGTACGAGATAAACTGCTGGTCATATATCGTTGAGATTGAGGATTACTGTACCCCCTATGTTTTGACGCGTTCTATATTCGTTGGTGTAGGAAGATTTGCTCGACCACAGGGATATATTATAATGTTAATAACTGAAAAACGAAGCCACAAACGTAATTTTGTTATTCTTGATTTTCGTCTTATTTTGGTTTGTAGAATCATCCCTTAAATTTAAATATCTTTTTTTTTACAAATTATTGTTCTCAAACATCACTTACTGGTTGAATTTTAAAATAAGTTTCATGTCTATCTCGATCTGGATTTAAACCATGAACTGCGTTTAATAAACTAGGATCTGCTTTGTAGAAATGAGGAAAAGAAAGATAGACTGGCGCACCTAAAAATTAAAAAATAATAAATATGAATTTATTGCATTCTCATAAAACATATTTAACATTATAAATAAAAAATAAAAAAATTTTGATGCTCTTCTAAAAACAAACATGACTTTTGACCAAAAAATGTAAAAATATGTACTATGTAATTACATATTCCACAATCTGTAAACTATATTGCATAATACATATACAAGCTCTAAAATATTACTTTCTTGACATGTTGATTATAAGATGACTTACAATGAATATAAAAAAAAATTGAAACATACTTTTACGATCATAAATATTTAAAGACTTCAACAAAACGAATGCTAATTCATTGTCCATATTAGGACAGAAAGGGAAAAATATCTCATGATTCATAAGGTACCTCTTTAAAAGTTATGAAATAATTAAAACCGTCGGAAATTCATTCTAAAAAATGATTTACAGTTTTTGGAACAACTTTTAGTCACAATACTTAATATTCATATAATAGTATGTATAATACTAACGCGAAAACAGTTTTGAAAATTTAAAAGAATGAGAGTTGCAAAACTGTTATCAATAGCAGTTCATGTATTGTTTGCAGCTTATTAATTTTCAAAAAATAATTGTAGAAAATTAGTTGAGTTAATACTTACTATACTGGCAAGGACTAATATTTTGTAATCCATCCATAGGACACGTTGACATATCATTCGAACAAAAGCATATATTTTCCGAAGTAGTGCCATTAGGACGATCAAACACCCCATCAGGAGGAATGTATAAATCTGCCTTAATTCCCGATTTTTCAGTTGGACCACGATATTTTAAAGGCAAAGTGCGACAAAGGTCTTTATCCCAAACGTGAATGACATCGGCGCCAGTTTTGTCACGAGGTGGAAAAAACGATCCTATAATCAATAATATTTAATTACACTATAATCAATTAATATTAATGTTTCAATAATCTTTTTTTCTAAAGGAAAGAACAGGTTTTAAGAAACAGGTTACTATGAATATGATAATTTCACGCTTATATAAATTATGTACAGAAATTAATTCTTTACAAACAAAGCTCAGCGATAAATAATTTGATACTTAGTCACTCGTGTAAATTTTCTTGTTTGTTAAAATAAGTGACAAGTGTGAGATTTATCAATCATATTTACCCTCTGACGCTCGAATAGAGTTACAAGGCGCGTCAGACCAATATGGCAGATGATTTAGTCCATTTAAACGATTTAGTAATCCAAAGTCCTTCATATCTGTATGCCCCGTGTAAATAGTAGACACCTCATCTAGTGTACCGTTTCTCTGCAATTAAATTCGTTGCAATAATTATTATAAAAGTCAAAAATAATCGACCGTAACTCTATCCATGTGATATTTATTAATAATCGTTATTTTCTTAACACTCGATATGCTATGAGGATAAAATTATGCTTTATAAATTTCTAATTTTTATGATTTAACGTTTTGCACAATGACGTTACATAGCAATTTTGGAAGTTATCAAACTCTTTGAGCAAGGGGTGTATTTGAGATAGTGTTTGTGAAGCGAAGAGAATTCGTTAAAGTGCGTACCAGGTGTTGTTTAGCGGAATACAAAGAATTCGAAAAGAAATCTGGCACAATGCAGATACAGAAGTATCGTGTCTGTTAAGGAATTTTTTTCTATTTAAAAAATAAAGCTATGTCAATATTCAAAAAGAAATCCACATTATTTTGTGGTTTTTATTTTTTAAAACTAAGTATCTACAATATGCGAAAGATTTCTTTAAAATTTTTGCGTACCACTGAATAGGGCAAATAGAACAAAAACTGATAATCTACATTTTCCCTGTAACTAATCCCTCCCCGGTTAAAATAGAGGGTTGAAACTTAGTATCAAATGTTTTCTTTCAATAAGCTATTGAATGGTCCACCGCAAGACCAATTTGGTTTAACCCCTTGACATATGATTTCTTTTCCTGTCTATGCATCTAAGCGTCAACTAATTACTGTTTTAGTGCTATATTAAGTAAGAAGAGCTAACGCACTATAGATTAATTAAATTTGGTAATCTTCAGTTTTATAAGTTAAATCGAAAATTAGAATTAAAATTAATGTTTCTTATTGATATAACTGTTTTTATCAGATCTTGTCCAAAATCTGTGGTACGAGTCTGACTCGTTGTCATACGGCAAGGGGTTCAGGACACTTTTGAACCCTATATTCGGCTATACCTCTTTTAGACCAAAAGTTTTAGTACAGTATGTACATGTGAAATTGAGAAGCGTTCTGTAAGAAGAATGAAATTAATTATGAAAAAGAATTGTCGAGAAGTTGTGATTTAGCGAGCTCAGGAATTAGACCCATAGGAAGTTAATTGTACAGAATAAATGATGGAGTTAACGTTCAATTTTTTCAGCAATAAATATACAATAGTTTTATTCAAACCGTGTGTATTATTAAACATTTCTGTAAATTCACCTAAAAAACGTTATAAAGTAATTTTCATATCGATTATCACTTACCCCAAGTAGAAGTCCCATTTGACTCATGGGACGTCTTGTTTTCGGGAAAAATTTGTGCGCAATGCTAATTAAAGGGTCGTCGTATCCGAAAACGAGTTCTTGAGCAGTTACAGGTACAAACGGTTTCATACTCATTCCGCCCAAAAACACGGATAATCCTACAGTAAGTAATCGAGGTAGGCTTTTACTTTGAGTCGATACAGTCTGAAAAATATTAGGTAGTCTTGTTACGGAAATAGTCAAAGTGATTGTTCTGTATAAATGATTTTTGTTACAAAACGCGACGAATTAATGTTACATTACGTACTGTTATAATTAAAAATTTTACGATGTAATCTAAACGAAAATGAATATTAATAAAAGCTAAGATAATTACGAATTAGATACAAAGTGACACTATACACGGTGGATCGATTAGAATTACCACCATGAGTATCTCCGGAATCATGAAAGTAAAAGATTTTCTTATGGATGCAGTCATTGAAGAAGTATGAAGGTCATCCGTGTTCTTTTAACGACATGTCATGCTTGTTTTAATTGTTTGCCAATGACAGTCCTTAATACAAAAATAGGTTACATTACTAATGGACACCGAATTGCTTTTTTAACGATATCAGAATTTATTCAGACACATTTGACCTTGACTGACCTTGTGTTATAGATTTTTGTGTTGTTTTTAGAGGCTGCCATTAACGAATAAACAAAGAACTAAGATATGTCGTTGAGTAAACAGGGATGACCTTCACAGTTCTACAACGACACTGTCTACAAAATAATCGTTACAACCATACGATGGCCCTTTTCATAAGAGACGATTTTTATTGGAAAAATTTCTTTCTTACTTTCATAATTCCAGAGATACTCAGGGTGGTAATTCTTGTTGGCCCACCCTGTATATAGAATTTATGCAATTAGCATTATCGAAAGTTATTATATCGTAAAAAAATGTACTCACTAGCAATGGTATGTTTGGTACTATTACTTTGAGGTCCTGGTCCTTTGATAACTCCGGTACGAAGTTTAATATTTTTTTATGTTGATAACTTACAGTACCGTTATTATGGAAAACAATATTAACTTTTTCCATATCTTCCCTGTAAAGTGAAAGGATTCTCTCTTATTTATTATATACAATTCCCCAATTTTTTCGAAGTTGTAAACGATCAAAATTAACAAAAATTAGCATGTAAATTGTATTGTGATTTAGCTGTTTCTCAGTTTCATTATGAAATATAAATGTCCTTAAAAATGACAAATAAATTATCTAAAAGGTTTTGCAACAAGAAATATTACACGTATCCTTGAGATTAATGTTTACACAACTCAAAAGTATTGCAACAGACAAACTTCTGAAATCTGTTTTTACATAAGAAAGTATTGACTTCAAACATTGACTTTGATTTTTGTAATCTGAGTTATATAGTCAATATTTGAATATATTTCGAAATTTCTAAATTCAAATTGAATCTCTAATGTGAAGAAGAAACAGGAAATTTTAACGTTCGAACCTCATAACTTCCTATATTTTTCATTCGAAATTATAAATAATCAGCAAATTCTGAATATTTTGAACGATATTTAAAAATTATCGTACTCTTTTGAAAAGTGGTGCGATCATTTTTTTAATTTTTAGCTCTATTCCGGCCCTTCGTTTATAATTACTTTTAACAGCAAAATATTACTAAAATACAGATATCTATATTATTTTTATCGATAATACATACCTGTACACGAACGGACCAACTTCTTGCAGTTTTGGTTTTTCATTATATTGCAAGAAGTTCTCGGTATTTGTCACATTGAATATGTATACTTTGGTCAATCGAACTACTCCGGGCTTTTGCCAATATTGAAAAGAAAGGGAACCATTCCATAATCGCAGTTGCTGCAGAGAAAATATCAACACTGTATACATTTGTCGCATATATGTTCGTTAAATTCGAGTAATTAATCGCGAGGGAGAAATCACGTTCCGCTTTCATTTCAATAACTTCAACCTTGTGTTTGTAATTTCGAGATTAAATTGAATTTTCTTCGATCGTCGAATCATTGCGAAATAAAAATCACAGAAACATCGATATTTGGTATTTAAAATACGAAAACGTGCTTCCGTTCAATTCACACGGTCTATGTTTTACAGCGAGCAAATAAAATTGAAGCGAAATTAGGAAATCGGTGACTCGAGATGCAGGAACAGGTTTGAAAATTTCATCTCTATAATCGAAGGTCGATATTGTGAGTGAAACGTGTGAATTGTGTAACTCGTTCTTCGAGAAAGTGCAAGGTCGATCGCGTTTGCTATCACCTAACTTCCACTTTTTGTTCGTCACTGGCAAATCATGATCTATGCACATTTGTCCCGCACGATTAGGGATGTGTTTCAGGAAAAAGTACGGTCGTCGTTTAGATGCTTAATCGTTGTTTAACAGCGGCATTAATGATACCTTCATTCGTTACATTGCAAAAATAAAGCGAAACGGATAATAGCTTTTGCACGTGCTATTGCATTTGAAAGAAATTAATCAGGCTAGAAGTGTAGTTAACTTTAAACATTTCATGTAAGAAAGCGATATCTTGAAATTTAAAAAAGCAAAGCAAACAAGTAGAAATAAATTATAGTTACTCAATACTAAATAGCTACTAATTAATCAATAATTGCTAATATTATTGAAAAACAATACTGAAACTTAATTTGTATTTTATATTTTAATAAAAAAACAATTATGAACTTGAAACATGTTCAGATAAATAAATACACTACCGGCCAAAAGTTTGGAATCACCTCGCAATTTTCATCAGTACTGAATCTGCTACTAATTTTTCATAGGCTTGATATTGATATTGTGGAGATAAACAGCAATTTATCTCGTATCGAACGATACAAAATTCGTTAAAAAATTCTTAAAGCTGCTGACTTTTTTCTGCGAATTTCTGTATAACTTGCAATGCACAGTGATTCTAAACTTTTGGCCGGTAGTGTATATAGTTGCCAGTGCGTGTAATGTTAATTTTCAGTTGAAATTTTCAAATTATACTAAAATTTATTTCTTCCGTACTTACTAATTTCTTCTGTCAATAAAGAATCAATACAAAACTTGCATGATATGAAGGGTGGTATAATGTGACGTAAATTCTTTTTACGCGGATGGAGACATAAGGGAGATTTCAATGTCATCTCCGTTTTCTTAAATGGGATGTTACATTTTTTTTTTTTTTATCACTGTGTGACGATTTTAGCATTGTAGATCATTCAAGTCGTAAAATTAATTTTCCCACATTTGTGTCTATCCGAAGTTTCTATCTTTGTATCGCTGAATCACGGGCGCGATTTATCGCCTCTGAACACCTGCTGCGGTAATCCGTTGTCTCATATTTTCCGGTGCACTCGATATTTCTCGATAGGCAACATTTTTGAGTGCACGTGAGTACACTTTGCACGAGTATCCCCGTAAATGGGGATCATATCCGTTTGTTCTCCAAAGGAAAGCTTCGTTTTGATTATCACGGTGATGTATGACTCAGCAATCAATTGATGCTGACTACCGATACTCCGCCCAATGTCGCAAATTGCCACAATGTTTACGTACGTAGCTGTACGTAATGTATTATGAGAACTTGAACATTGCGGCAAGACTATCTGTTTACATAAAAGTAAGAGCCAATGAATTACAGCATTTGTTAGGGTAAATCCAGCGATGATAAAACGTGTTCCGCGGTTTCGAAAGTAGCAACAATTGTTTTACGATCTTCGGTGACCTTCAGTGACCTTTAACGATAATATGTCGAAATCAGCGCAACAATGGTTATCACACAGCGATAGAAAAAAAAGAAATAGAACGTTCTATTTGAAAAAAGTAGAGATGACCTTGAAACCTCTTGTAGGCTTCCGTCCATGTAAAAAGTATTCACACGACATTCTGTCTCTCTCCATATCGGGAAAATTTTGTATACAACATTTTTTCATATTGTTAGAAATAACGGAGATACACCTGATGAACAAAGTTTTTGCCCCACTTTGTATATTGTACTGATAATTTGTGTTATTAAATGGCGGAAAGAATAAACTACTATTTCGTGCTTTGTAACTGATTAAAATCTGTATGAATAATAATTGTTTTATTTTTTCTTTTTATTTATTAATTTCAATTATAGTATTATATTTAATGGAAAAAATTGTGCATACCTTCAGTATGATATAGTCCACCCAGGGTATACTGCTCAGAATAATGCCGATGACAAGCGTTACTATTCCTATAAAAATTGCTGAAATTCTACCTGTAAAACATAAAAGAACGCAATTGATGAATGCAACAAGCATTAAATTTCGTCTAATTATAATAATATATACAAAATTTATTAATATTTTGCAATTTGAAAAAAGTTTAATACAATAACTCATTTTTTGTGTCTATTTGTATTATTTTCTATACTACCGTTTCAAAAGCTCGAGATCATTAGCTTATCTTGTATTCCATTCTGAGTTCATAATATTCAGCTTTCTTTTTGACTGCAGTTTATAATTTGAAGATCATAGAATAATTTCACTCTCTCAAATTAAGTTAACAGTTAAGCCTTTAAATTATAACTACTAAATTATCACCCAAAACTTTTCTATTTTTAGAAAAGTATAACTTGTGAAAGTGGAGCAATCTCAAAGAAATGTCAATAAGATAATATTTTGTTACTCATCATAACCAACCAATGAAAATTGCCTGTTATTAGCTTTCGGATAATCGTGATATCATTGAGTATATATTGAAAATACCATGTCGCAGTGTTTAAGTGAGAGTTAAACAATTATTTAATAACACGTTGCAGAGAATGTTTTCAAAGAGAAACTTTGTAGAGATTAAATGAAGATTGATATATTTCGCCTGTATCTTTTAAGAATGACAACGATATGTCCAAACTTTCCTAATTATATGATACATTGCATGTCAGATTTGTTGCTAATATCATCTCATTGCTGGCTACATTTATACTTTCTACCATTACGCCTGACAAGCAACATTTGAAATAGTTGAAACATGTTGAAAGAAGAAACAAATTCTCTATAGAGCTATCTTACACTTAAATAACATCAAAAAAATCTTGTTTTCGAAGATTTTTTTTTTTTTGAATTATCTATATTACATTTACAACTGGCTCTGTCGAGCCGACCAGCAAATTTGATAATGTGGGTGTCGTGTGCATGTGAATAATACTGAATAGTGTTTCCACTCCGTTTCCTTATTTATCGTTTTCGAAAATATGTGCAAAATTTTCAAATCTTCAAAATATATTCAAATCTTTCCAGAAATACTCTTCATACCTGAACATTTTGTCTCACTTTCTCTACATCTGCTCTGAAATAAATTATGAACAATCGCGTTCGATACCGCTGACCTTCACCCACATCCACCTTACAGCATTCACTATTTTTTTTAAATCGAAGTCAATCTTATTTGGATGTGTACGAATACAGGATGTGGCAATAACTTTGATCTCGACATTTTGGGAGCCGAAAAGATCTTATGAAATGTACACAACATTCCCTAGAGGAGGTAGGGAGCGTAATAGTATATTAATAACAATTTTGATGTAGGTTGAATAATAGCCATATTTTTCTATGTTTAACGGTATAGCTGATGTAAGAACGATTTTGGCGATAGTACGTACAAGATCGTTCGAAAACCGAAAAAAGGGGTAAAATGATGATACTAAGATGACCTTAAAATCTTTGGTAAATCTCCAGTAAAAAGAAAAAATTTCTTACTGACATATTATAATTCTCTGGTTATTGTACAATTTGCATAAGTAACACTTTCTTGTATCTCTAAAAATAGCAAAGATATTCGACATATGAAGTGTTACTATTTCACTTATTGTTAGATATAATTAATTCAATCTATCTTTTATCTTTTCCTATTTTAAATTAGTATTTATTTTGTTTCAAAATCGTTTGCAGAGTGTTGCATGAAAATCGTATTCCATTACTCATAGATTACAATGACAATTACATTCTTATTTTTAACTTAAAAAAGTACTTTCTACAGGAGTACAGTTTTGAATACAAAAATGATCCAAATAGCTAACATACAAGTTGTAATCCATATTTAACCCTAGCGCGTTCCTTCGTTCGACTGTACACTTGAGGTTTTTGGCTCTTTTTCGACCCGAAGGCCTTAGGTGTAACAATTTTTGTTACCAGCACGCCGTATGAACTTAGGTAATGAACTTTCGATGTAATATTAAGGGAACATAAATTTGATAACAGCAAAAGTAATTAAATAGATAAGAAGGCGATGGGTCAAAAAAGACCCGAAGAGTTATCATATGTTACTAGGTGCAAGGTACAACGTTAGGAAAGTAGGATAGTACGATGAAAGTCAGTGATCAGTGTTCGTCAATGTGATTTCATTGACCTGGTGTGCTCATTTGTAATTTAAAGCTACCACTCATAATACTAGTTTTGATACTATTCGACAGGTGACTGTGTTCCGACCTACTGAACAATAACTCGTTCTTTTCATTTGTCACGGTTTATGACACGGTCACGAGGAATGGCTATCCTTCGGTTCACCACGTTAACGTACTGTTTGACATTTCGTGCTTTCTCGTCGGGAGAAATTAGTTCGGTACGTAAAAGCCCTAGAATTTCATTGTTCGTCCCCGAAAACGGAAGACGCAACAGAAGATCGGAGTTTCTTAAGGGTAAATTCGACATCGGTTTCTAACGGCGCGCAGAACAGAAGGATCAGAACCTGATGGAAATTCCACACCATTGCCACACTTCTGCATATCGCAACACCGACCAGGTATACAGGGTGTCCCACTTTTTTCCGATCAAATTTTGTCAGTATGAGTATAAGTGAAAAAAAAATTTATATAAACATAAGTCGTTTGAAGCTTTGTTAAAAAGTTATTAAATCAGTTCTAAAATATGTGAAATGGTTCTTTACTCTAACAATAAGTTATAAATTACAAATTGTAATTGGGTGTGAAATGAACATCGTTAGAAATTGTATAGTTTTCGTTGTCATAAAGTAGTTATCTTGTACCAGTATAAAATAGAAAATCGAACGATAGAATGTTTGATCACTGTCAATTGAGTAATTGGCATTCTCCAGCGTAGGGCAAGTTTCTCATATGCAGTGGGTCATGCGGACATTCGATCGTTTACATTGAGCATCTTGGTACTACTAATAAACAAGAATTAACAAAAATTTTCGAAATATTATTACATTTAGTATCGAAAAATTTAAATGCAATACAGTCAGTATAGTATTGTATTTAAAGCTCGAAAAAATTCTGTTTAAAAGCTGAAATTACTTGAAAGTTACTTCCTTTACTGAGATTATTCGTACCCTGAATTTAAGGCACGTGGGAAGAAAGCATAAAACTGACATAAGTGCTAATGATATATATTCAACTATTCAAATGAGAAATACCACGATGCAGAAGTTATTTTCTAGTACGAATCCTTCTTTAATTTCTGTATCCGCAATAGCCTTCTTTAATTTCTTAATCATATTGCATATTTAGAAAGAAGCACGGTTCATGAAAAAATTGCAGCTAAACTAATGCTAAGAGGTGCTAACTTTTATATGCAGTTATTCCTAAAAATATTCAGACACTAACAAAACAACCATTAAACACAGCACCGGCAAAAATATTTATAATATTTAAAATATGTAAGTAATATGAACATTGTACTACGAATATTGAAAATATAAATTTTTACTAAGTACCTGAATATTTGTGTAGTATGGTAATTAGTCATAATTTCGATTCATTTGTATTACAAAGTCATACACGAAAATGCATTGAGCTAACAATACGTAATCCAAAAGTTCAATGAATGACGTTTCACAATGAAAAAGCACCAACCCAATCTTTTTACAGTTAGCCGAAATACATCGCTATTTAGGAAGGCAAGTTCATATAGTGTCTGAATATTTTTGGGAATAACTGTATATCAGCTATATGTACGTGTATGTATTCCTAAGAAAGTATTTATATCTTCATTAACACGTTTTAAAAATAGAATATGTCTTTAATGCTGTTAAATTTATGTAATCCATAATGTAATCCTTTCGATTAGCCTTCTATCAATTTCACTCTCACTTCAAGGTCGAACAACAGAATTCTTCAAAAACATGTCGTGACCAGGTATATGTTACCTTTTTCTTCGATCCTTTCAAATCGTCTTTCTTTTCAACATACCGCCATACAATAACCTTGGATTTCGAATATTCAGAAGTAATATGTATACTAATACTATTCCGAGATTACACCAATAACATGAAGGAAATGTTATTAATGAATTGTGACAAGGACTATTCCGACCTAGGAAATAACAAACGTTCAGTCTTTCCACTTAGCGAAAGATTGTTTTCGAGTTCCTGACGTTCGCGTGTTGTTTTACTTTTGCTATGTTTCTTGCCGGAAGAAATTAGTTTTTATTAGACTTAATAAAAAAGCCCTCGATAGCCAAAAAATTACCAAAATTTCGCATCATTGCTGAATTTTTATCACATTAGAAGAAAGTTTGCGATATCTATTAGACAAAGCTAGTTAAAATATTATTTCAAATAGTAAATAATAAATAGTTTATTTTATTTTAAATCGTGTGTATGTACTATGAGAATGAAATGGTTTATTTGTTGCGGTGAGTTTTTAAAATAGTATTTTAAGAATAGCAAGCAGCCCAAATTTACATTGCCTTAAAGATTGAAGAGATTGCCCTGAGAAGATCTAAATAGTCACGGAGTGAGGAAGCCAACGGTGCCTTCTAGTAAGTAGACTGTGAGGAGTAGTACGTCAGGTATAGTCGATGGAACAAATATAACGATGTCGTAAAATCGATCAGGCATCAAAGTTTGCACACAGTCCAGCATATGGACAATTGAATCAACAGGTGTCAGAATCAACAGGTGTCAGAATCAATAAATCAACAAAACTGTAAACACTGAAAGAAATAGTAGCGTTTTTGAAATTGTTCTTAAAAATAAATTCTGTTTCACCATACATGCTTATAAAAATAGTAAATGAAAATATAAATTTGTTATTGAAAAATTGACGGAAACGTTAAACAGAGAATTCGCAAGCGTGTTACGTTCTAACATCAAAGTACGCGTGTAACGGAGGATTAAATTTTTTTGGAGGGCTAAATTTCGTTGACGTTTTCGAGAAAAAGAAAAGGTGTCGATATTGTTTTCTACAATACGGGAGTTCCCAGCGTTCCTACGATCGGAACTTCCAGAATGTGATGCAAGTTCGACTAGCTCTGACTC